ACAGACAAACCATTGATCTGGGTAATCCAGTATATTAATGGATGTGGAATGTCCAATTTGGAGTTGAATACTTCAAATTGGGAGATAAGACGATATAACTGACAAATAAGGTCAAAACGCGTGCAACAGCCTACAAATTGGCTGGAAACATGGTTGAGGGTAAGAACGAGTAAAAAGGTCAACTCCTCGACAGAAAAAAAAAAGGAAAAGATGAGGCCCCACTCATCTATATAAAAGCATTTTCTCAAGATATTTGCTACGTGGTATTACTTAGTTTTGGTCCAAGCAAGTGAAGGATCGTCAGTGAAATGGGTTCTCTAATGGCAGGATGGGATTCTCCTGTATCAGATTCTGAATCAGGTTAATAGCGGTAAATTCTTATCTGCTTTATCCAACATGGCATAATGTTTCCATGGTGTTTTCCTTCCTGCTTAAAAATCTTTCAGCAATACTCCAAAGGAATCGATCACTTACCAAGGATGAGATTCAAGCTTACTGGAAATCCAAGAAGAAAACGGAGGAAGATCATCTCAAGGCTATTTATAGTCCATCAGATGGCAGCAACCAGCTGCAGGTACAGTTTTTTTTTCAGTATTAAAGATTTATACATGCACAGAGTTTTACTGAAATAGTATATCTTATTTTCATATCCAAAAAGGAAACTCCATTGGAGGAAAATGGAAGTAAATTTATGAGATCAAGTTCCATGCCTCTACCTCGAGCAAAATAGGGTTTCCTGGACACGGAGAATATGATAGAGAAAAATGGGTGGTCGGTAGCTAACATTAGTCGACTCATTAAAAAAATGCTTTCATGTTGACGGTTTTTGTTTAACGTAAAGTTTTTTTCGAAGGTGGACGAGGAGCAATTGGGCGTTCTTGAATGAGCCTTCCGTTCCTGATCACCCTACTGATAGTTACACATCGCAGTTACACATCGCAGTTCCACATTGCAAAACTTGGTGCTCCCAAGCTTAACAAAGATACTGGAATCAGTGCTTAATCTTTACCTCCTAAAGCTATCTTTTGTCAGCGTATCTAATGTATCCGTGTGTCCAAGACGTATATTCAGACACATGTTTCGAAATAAGATTTGTTTCGCAATCAACTGGCAGAACTGCAAGTTTTTTCTCATTTTCCCTCTGCTCTCTGCCAGTTTTATCAGGTTGTCAATTAACTTTGTTTACTTTTCAGAAACATACCATCTATCAGTGGCGGATTCAGAAATTTAGAAAGGAGGGTCCAAAAATTTTAATACTCTTCTTTTCAATATAATGGATATGCAAAATTTCTTTTTTTTCTTAAACTTTTAATATATTGAACTATATTGAATATCTAATCTAAAATAATGTGTGTGCATTTGGCCCCAATATGACCATATGCATCCGCCCCTGCCATCTATTGTAATTTAATCATCAAACAATAAAAACATCTGTGCATGGAAGATTCACATTGAAGACAACAACAAATCGGTAATTATGCTTCTTTAAGCCTATTTTTTTATAATAAGCTGTAAAATTACTTGTTCTTCATCGCTTATGCTTTTCTATACCACAATAAAGAACTAAACCTACGAGAATTCTGCAGAATCCATTCTGAACTAGATCTAAGATTTGGGCCAATGCAAAGAGTATGAAGTGAAGGGCCACTGGACCATTTCCCGTGCTTAGGATTTCAAGCCTGACGCGAACATGATACAAAATATGCAGTTAAAGATACACTTTGACCCGTTAAATGTTAATTTAGGCAGCTTACTTGGTAAACGATAAAAGAACTTTTTACAAAATACGTGGAGAACATAATTATAACAATTCTTGAAATAGGCAATGGATGTTCCTTGTCATGTTCACCAGGTTCATCACAGATCTTAAACATCGAACTGTACGGGACATGAGGTGTAAACTTCATGATAGCTTTCACCTAACCAATTCTTGAAGGCATGATATCAAAAATAGCTTCCAATATTTAAAAATGATCATTTTGCTTTTTCATTGAGTATTTTAGATTAAAATGATCTCAATATTTGATCGAATAGTCACTTTAGCCCTTATTCTTTATTTCAAGAGCATTTTGGCACTTGGCGTATTCTTGTCGTAAAATGAAACAATGAATGTCAAAATACTCTAAGAAAAATAATACAAGTTAAAATGATCATTTTAATAAATATTAGAAGCTAATTTTGAATTATATCATTCTTGAAATGGGCAATGGATATAAACTTGTTATGTCAGATCAGGTTCATCTCATTTTTAAAACATCAAATTCAAGGGGAACGACGTGTAAAATTCATGATAGCAATTGCCTAACACAACTAGTTCAACAATAGATTTCGATGGGAAGAAAATTGTGATTGTGAGTTTAAAATTCAAATTTTAAAAAGTTATATAAATTAACAATTAATATTAGCATTTGATGAATACATGTATAATATGAATATATATATAAGAAAACAATTATAATATATTTCAAATAAATTTCAATAATTACTTCGTAAATTTTTATATTTATTTTCAAAAAATTTGTGGGGTCACAATTGAAACCTTATATAAAATATTTTTATAAAATAATCTTACTGTTTTATGGGGTTAAAATTGGAATTTACATAAATTAATGTATACATAAATTTCTATTTTGAGGCAATCGGCCCCACAATTCTCTACGTGTCTTCGCCACTGAGTTTGGAGAGTTTTCCAGAAATGTTTGAATGACATGGAATTTTAACCTCCTGTTTGCTCCTAAACAAACAAGAACTTCAACATGACACACCAACAAATTTACCTTTAATGGAAATAATTTGTGGTCCTTAATGGTTTCGAACCACTTTTGTTCCAACCACAAGGCTATTCTTGCCACTTGACGTCCCTCATTTCGTCCATAAATAGTGCCCCGTTTGTGTTCTCCCTGCCAAACTCCATTAGGAAAAAAAAAAACAATAACTCAAAACCTCCTCACTGGGTAAGTAGCTGAAGAATTCTTCAATGGCCGGAAAGAGTAAGATTTTGATCATCGGAGGCACCGGATACATTGGGAAGTTCATCGTTGAAGCCAGTGCAAAAGAGGGTCATCCCACTTTTGCTTTAGTAAGAGACTACGGTCTCTGATCCCGTTAAGGGAAAAATCATTGACAACTTCAAGAACTTAGGGTCCAATTGCTGAAAGTAAGTACATATTTTGAGTTCTTGTGAATGTGGCACATTCATTAGAAATTTAGAGTGCTGAACTTATTTTTGCACGCGGGGGGATCTTTACGATCATGAGAGTTTGGTGAAGGCAATAAAGCAAGTTGAGGTGGTGATATCTGCAGTAGGTCGCAGTTAGGAGATCAAGTTAAGATCGTTGCTGCCATTAAAGAAGCTGGGAACGTCAAGGTTAGTTACTCTTTTGTTCTTTTCTTTTTCTTATGCGAATTCTTCATTCCATTGTAAGGGTTTCTTTTTCCTATCTGAACAGAGATTTTTCCCTTTGGAATTTGGAACTGACGTTGACCGTCATCATGCGGTTGAGCAGGCGAAATCAGCATTCTCTGTCAAAAGCTCAAATCCGTCGTAGTATCGAGGCTGAAGGGATCCCTTAAACTTACGTGGCCGCTAACTGTTTTGAGGGCTATTTTCTTCCAAATTTATCACAGGCAGGAACCACCACTCCCCCAAGAGACAAGGCCGTTCTCAATTTTGCCTATGTCTCACGATCATATATATCTGGTATCGATACCGCATTGCTCCGTATTCGGATCGTACTCTATGTTGCAGCTGTTTTCAACTATCAAGGTGACATCGGCACCTACACCATCAAGCCGTTGATGACCCCAGAACATTGAACAAGATCCTATTCATCAAGCCTCCTAAAAACATCTACTCATTTAATGAGCTCGTTGCACTGTGGGAGAAATTGATTGGCAAAACCCTCTAGAAAACATATGTTCCGAGGACCAACTTCTAAAACAGATCCAACGTTGGTGAATTCCCGCCTCGCTCTTGTTTTATTCATCAAACGATGGCCATGTTGAGATTTATGTTGGTTTTTTCCATATTTTCTTTTTTGCAGAGGCTCCAATCCCAATCAATATCGTACTGTCAATCAATTATTCGATCTTTGTTAAGGGAGACCACACCAACTTCGAGATTGAACCGTCATTCGGAGTTGAGGCTTCCGAACTATACCCTGAAGTGAAATATACCACCGTGGAAGAATACCTCAGTCGTTTTTGTTTAAGATGAACCATAGCTCCTTGTTAATGTACACCTAATAATCGAGAAGCTGTCACCGAGATTTGTGCTGACGGCTGTGTGTGTTCATAAGTTTCTTATTATCATTCGATCCGAATGAGAACAACGGTGTTGTTTCTATATTATGAAATATAAGAGCCGCTGTTGTCTTTACTCTTTACTTAATTCTCTGTTATCAATGAATTTGAACAGAACAGTCATGGAATTTACTTGCTTATGTTGCTCTAATCAGTCGAAACATGAATCCATACATTATTTTGTCAAAACAATAGAATTTTAAATGCGTCCCCACAAATGAATTTCCTCTCTAAAATACCTCGCCCAAAACAACCGAAAGGATTAACCAGCGGAAAACGACAGCATTTCCAATATTAAGAACTGTAACAGTGTAACCTACCACTAGTGTCATGTAATGGGTAATGACTCAACTCGACCCACTGCCATTTCTGATTCTCGTGTCAAATGCCAGTCAGTCACAACTCACCCCCACTCATCCACTGGGGAACTCCGCTTCAACCTCTCACTGCTAAGGCAAAATCATCCGTCTAACATTAGCCGTTGATTTTGACTTCTACTGACGTATTTATCAGGAAAAGGATGATTTCTGAGATCTGAAATCTACCCTACCTCGTGCAGAGGAAGATATAATTTTATTGTTCATTTGAATTTTTTCAACAAGATTAGATTGTAGTTGTTTAGGTTAGGGCTATTCTTTGACATTATATTTTACTAGATTTTGCTGATGGTCGCACTAATTTTTATCGGTGAGCAGGAGATGTCAAAAGGCATTAGTGTTGGATCTGGAACTAATATACAAGACAATTCGCTTGTTCATGTGGCAAAGTCTAATCTAAGTGGGAAATCATCAGGGACAATGAAACGGATGGGGAGTAAAATGCATCTACTATAAATATGAAGTTCAGACAACATAAAGATAAGATTGGCCTTATGATTCTTTGGTGGTAAGTCTAGTGGTAACTGATATAAGAGAGAGTTTCTACTGCTTTTGTTAATATTTTGAGACAGGGTGCTGAAAAAAGGTGTTTAAATTTTTAAAAGTTTTAGTACAGTCTGTATAGATGATGCCAGTGTTCTATCTTTATTGGTTATTACAGGTGTGGGGAGCGAATCTAGCAATGTTCCTGAGGAAGCTAACCGATTAAGAGGCAGCATTTATTTCTCAGTCAGCCACCAATTATACCAACCTTGCACAGGCGCATGCAGCCGACAATGCAAAGCCCTTTTACGAGAATGAATTTGAGAAAGTCCTCCGCAATAAGTTTGCTCGTAGGGATGAAGAGTATGATTCAAATTCAATGCTGGGCGTCGCACGAGAAACTCCCCCGGAACTAGTTCTACCAGACAATGTCCTATCTTACAAGGAACATAAGTCTTCTCTAATGTGATCCTTTTCAAAAAAAAAAATTAAAGGGTTTTCTTCAAGCTTTTGACATCAAGGAATATATTTTCTTATCTGCAAGTATATGGCAAGAGGGATGATTTTTCTTTCCCAATAATGCCAGACATATTTTCGAATAGATTTATGGCCCCTTTTAAATTCTATAGAAAGCCAGTCATTTCATCACCATAAAAATGTATTTTGTACGGTCACCTGTAAATTTGTATGGTCATATATAAGTACCTAATAACGATCTAGCTATGGAAAACTGGTAGTGAATGAGTGAAGAAGAAGAGAAGTGAGGACGAAGACTAAGCTTGATGTTATTTCAGAAAATCAGAACAATACAAAGTGTTTAGGAGAATTACAAAGTATTCGTATATTTGCATAGTGGACAGGCCCACTATTTATAATACCAACTGATTAGCCCAACTGAATAGATTCAGTTATAACAGATTAACCATCAGTTATAACAACCTTCAACCGGTTATAACAACCTCTATTACATAATACTCTAATACCTGTGGGATGTGGGGTCAGTTGCATTATTCTGCAGTTGGTGCTGCAGTGTTTACATGGTCAACCTCAAGAGCAAATAAAGCTAGTGGCCACTGGCTAACTTTAAAGTAACAGACCATTATTAACTTCTTACAGCATGCTGGAATCTAACCCATGTGCGAAAATTCCTAACCCCAAAACTCTAGATTCTAGGCTGTAGCCATGTTAAGCTAATGCTAATCTATTTCAGTGTTTATTAATAATGCTAATGATCCCATCTCTTTCTGCAATAATTAAGGAAAATCGTTGATTGATCCGAGAATCTAAAAAAGCCAAAGATACAATTAAGCCTCCCCGTAATTTCGGCTGCCTTTTTCTGACCGATCTTTATAAATATCGTACAAATCTGATATTATAGATCATCTTCCATCTTTTCTCTACATTTTGGTGTTTAAGTGCTGTGTTTATTTCCCCCATTGTCTGTGGCCATTAAAGTTAAACCCATTTATTTGTAAGATTACGAATGGCTTTTAATCATGAATTAGGATGATAGTGCAGTCAGAAGTGACTGTGAGCAAAGCTTAACCACTGGTTTGTTAGTGGTGTATATTTTATATGAGATATATGTATTTATTAAATTATCTAATTTGAGTTTTGGAATTTTAATGCAGTAGGGAGTTTAGAATTTAACAGGATAGATTGAGGAGTGATGCGATAATATTGTCTTCAAAAATTTTAAATCTTCATATAATTTAAATAATTTTTATATTTTTATTAATAATTTAGTTTTATTTCCTTTTAAAATTTTAATATATATATATATATATTTAAAAATTCACATATCTAATATAAAATGATTAAGCTTCCTGATGCAAAAACCAGACAACCATTCAAACTTCCAATATATAATAGTTGTAGTTAATACGTTAATTAAATTCATAAAGATTATGCAAAACCAGACCATCATTCAAGCTTTCATTTAATACATCAATTAAATTCATAAAGATGCACTACGTTTTGGCTTTTTACCGGATATTACGCTTTCTAAAATTAAACAACCTCACGAGATATTGAGGTGGAACTCGACAATAGAGAAGCGGTGGAGATCCTCAATGGTTATCCAAGAATGCATGAGGATTCAGCCATCAAGACAACACGTAAACTGCTTGGCAAACAACGGAACATCAAGATTTATTTTGTCCGAAGAGAAGCAAATGGAGTTGCAGATGCCATGGCACACTTAGGATGGAACGATAGATTGGAGCTGAATGTTCTAACAGAACCACCGGGAGAGATCCAAAGTAAACTGTCCCGCGACAGGATAAGGGAAACTTAAGTTTTTTTACACTGCTGGTGCAGTACTTTAATTGTAACCAAAAAAAAATTAACAACGCCATATAGATTAATAGATATCATTAACATTTTGAATAACATCTTAATGTCATGTTAGATGAATACATATTATATTGACAACGTAGATAAAAATACAGATAGTCAATCGTAATTTTTTTAGGTTTAAGTATTATACGTAAAGTAGGTTCAATCGACTATATATTTCTTATATTTTAATAAAAAATATATTATTGGAAATTTGAATGTCTAATTTTAAAAATGGTAATATATAAATATAAAGGCCCTACATTTTGTTCAAGTTGGAATATTGCAAATGATTATTATCTTTCGTCTGGGGCTGGGTGTGTAATTTTATATGTTTCTTGATATTTGAAGTCTGCAATGGAAGTATACGGCGATTATTTCTTGTCTTCCAGTTTTTAGCTTTTAGCTTTTAGCTTTTGTTTCTGTCCATGCAATTTACATTTATTTTTCGATAAAATATATGATTATTAAAATACGTTAAAATATTATTTATTATTATATTAAAATTTTAAAACTTATAAAATTAAATTTATCATATAATTAAAAAATTAATTTTATCAAATTATTATAAATTAATTTTATCAAATTATTATAAATTAACTTATTGAATTGTAATAAAATAATTTTTTATTTATCAAAATTTATTATTATTTTATAACATACAATGATTGTTTTTTAATATTTTAATAAATTTAATAATTATTTTATAGTTAATTTTTAATATAATTTAATGATTATTTATATATTTTGAATTCATGATAATTAAGTATAATTTTAATGAAGGGCAAGAACCAAGCCCCAATGCCGATGTTCCCGCCTTCCAAAAAACCGAACTGCAGCAAGCTCTTAAATCATGCCGCTTTCCAATGATCCAAAAATGGCAAAACAAAGTGTATAATACTTTAGAGTAATTAGAGAGTTGAACTTTGGTTATGAGTTATATGCATGAAACTACTTTCACCTAAATCTCCACACCATCTGTTTCAGTACTATATGGAGTTTCAGACATAAAGAAAGTGTGTAATGTGATGATGATTATCAATAATCCATCTCAGAATGGTCGATCAAGTGCCTGAGTTTCAATGCAACTGTGATAAAGGTTCCGAAATTGCTTTCACAAATTGATTTCAGCACAGTGGGAATTATTGAATGGGACACCTTTTTACCAGTTAAAGGAGTCAAGTTTACGGAATACCATTCGTATTAGCCGACGAACCCCAAGAAAACTTAGCTGTCCGAATCATGATTCAGAATCTACACCGTTGTTGGGGCCAAAAGGCCGATTTTTGTATTAATAAATAGAAATAAAAAAGGTAGTTTTTTTTTTTACTTTATAATAATAAAAAGGGAGTTAAATAGGCCGAAAGGGGGAGCGTGATATCGCGGACTATCCACATCTGCTTGCAGTGCGGTTTACGCATCTTTAGCCCTCTGCCTATATAATAACATATGCTCTTAGCGAAGTCAGAGTCTTCAAGGAATCCGGGAAACTAGAAATAGTAATAGAAGAGTCACCACTTAAAACCATGGGAGTGGAAGCTTTGTTAAACAACAGGGAGGCTGGGCTTCAGCTTGAACCCAAGGCCCCTGTTATACTTGGACTCCAACCAGCCGCCCTCATCGATCACGTCGCTCGTGTCGATGGTTCCTTGCTCGACCAAATTCCCGGTGAACGCGGTGGTTCAATTCCAGTATGTTCTTATTTTTTTGTTACTTTTTATCCAATTTTCTTTCTTTTGTTACCTTATAATTTTCTGGGTTTTTGACTAACAGGAATGATTTGATTGCTTTGAATTGCTCCCGTTCTACTCTTAATTTCGAATCCCAATGTGATGGGTCTTTTTTGAGTTTTTCTATCTTTTTTTTATTGGTTCAAGCTTGCGCAATTTCTTGTTGCTATTTTGGTTTATTCCTGTCATTTTCCATCTTTGGTTTCCATTCCAAGTGTTCCCCAGAGAAAAGTAATTACTTTCAACCTTGGAACTGAAATCTGTCTTCTTGGTTGATAAGTATGAGCATAATCATACAGTTAGTACGAACTTGGAACGAGGTTCTGTTGTTATTGAAAGCTATCACTGTGTAGGTGGCGATTGAAGAGCTTGAGCACATACTAATGGAGCTGAATAGACACATCCTTGCGTCAGCTGCTGATGGTCAATCTCCTATAAAGACTATGGCTGGGGGAAGTGTTGCAAATACTATTCGAGGACTTAGCTCAGGCTTTGGGGTTAATTGTGGGATGATTGGGGCCTATGGGGATGATGAGCAAGGTCAATTGTTTGCAAGTAACATGAACATTAGCGGGGTTAACACTTCAAGATTGAGAAAGAAGAAAGGAACTACTGCTCAGGTGATCATTATGAATGCAATTTCTATGAAATTGAATTGTGCTTTAAATGGTTAAGTGTTGAAACTTTCTTGGTAATTGTTATGGTTCAGTGTGTATGCCTAGTTGATGCATTTGGCAATCGAACAATGCGACCTTGCCTATCATCCTCTGTAAGAGTTCAGGTGAATGTCACAATCCCCCTTTTTTTCATATTTAGTTTTCTTTCTTGATTTTAAGGATATATGTTTGCTTCTTTCTGAATAGAAACTCACAATCAATTTTTATTCCCTTTTTTCTTTTCAGGGGGATGAATTGACCAAAGGGGATTTTAGTGGCTCCAAGGTGAGTATTATTTTATAGAATTAAAACAACAAATCTACATTAGCTGTTTTTGGATTTTTCTTCCCCGTCAGTTATAAGCAAGGAACCTCGATTGTCATATTCTTTTCATCATGGTTTTCAATGACTTAAGAATGTAGATGGATAGAATCACATTTAGAACACATTATATCGTTCAGCACTTTGCAGCTGGTTTGATTGTGGAGCATTCAACTTAATGGTTTTTCTGTCATTGCAGTGGTTGGTGGTGAGATATGGAGCATTCAATTTGGAAGTCAATCAAGCAGCTATAAGAATTGCCAAACAAAATGGTGTCTGTGTTTCGTTGGATTTGGCCAGTTTTGAGGTAATTAACGAATAGGGTGAAATAGCCGGTCTATGTTAGCATGTAACCAAAACAGTTTCTCTACTTGGATATTTTGAAAGTGATCATGAAAGGAAATTCTTTAGATTTGTGGTTGCTATTCTACTAAAGTGGTGGTATATCATCTCTGATTGGCATCTTAGTTCTCAATTCACAATTCTTCTTTGTTGTTGTTTTCAATAATCACAGTTTTCAGGTTCTGAATATTTTATCTCATAAAGCCTATGACTTTTATCAGATGGTTCGGAATTTTAAAGAATCTCTTCAACAGTTACTGGAGTCAGGGGATATAGATCTATGCTTTGCCAATGAGGATGAAGCAACTGAGTTGCTGAGGTGGCTGACACTTTTTTTCATAGTAATGAATGGAGTCGTTGACATTCAGGCTTTCAGAAATTGATGCATTAACCGCATGTGGTAGCTGCTGATACTATTTTCTGTTTTACTTCTTTAGGAGTGAACAAAATGCTCATCCCGAAGCTGCACTGGAATATCTGTCCCAGTATTGCCAATGGGCTGTGGTTACATTAGGGTCCAATGGATGCATCGCGAAGCATGGACAAGAGGTTCATTTTTTTTTATCACTTCAGATGCAAATTCTTACTGTTTGAGATACTATCAACCTATCAATGCCTACATTCAAGGATGTGTTTTGCTCTGACAGTTACCGTTCTCAACTCTGAAAATATGATCAAACTATGCCCTTCTCATAGTCTGTTGATTTCCTTTTATGGCAGATTGTTCGAGTTCCAGCTATAGGGGAGGCAAAAGCGATTGATGCCACAGGAGCTGGGGACCTATTTGCTAGTGGTTTCTTATATGGATTGGTGAAGGGTTTAACCCTTGAGGAATGTTGCAAGGTAGGCTCATGTAGTGGTGGATCAGTGATTCGTTCCCTTGGGGGTGAGGTAACCTCAGAGAATTGGAAATGGATGTACAAGCAAATGCAGATGAAAGGCCTCTCACTTCCTGATATGCGGAACTGAACATCTACATAATATAAGAACCATTCCATTCCACTTGCATTGCTATGGCTTTACTTTTCTGCAAGCAAAAGGGCAGCTTTTGGGGCTGGATTGACGTGTTTACACGACTCTTTATCAACGTAAGCTTCAACATATATATTCAATGTTGAGTCATCGTTGAATTATTTCTGTAGGAACTTCTCTGCAATGGCTTTAATCCTTGTATTGAATGTTATCAAAGGAAAAGACTTATTTTACCTCGTTCGCTTCCTTCGTTGATATTATATTAAACAGCATCATAAAATTGTTATTTTGAGCATGAATCATCACACTACAAATTATTAGTGCTAAATATCTCAAACATGCAATTCAATCCTAATGCCCGCACAATCCACCTCGGTCTTCCAGTGAAAAAAGCAAGTTGAAAGCATTCATCTTGATCAAACATATGCACCAAGATATAAAAGATGACAACACATTATTGACACTAGCAATGTACATCTACTGAGACAGGATTGTAATCTGCACGCTAGATAGTAAAAAAATATTGAGTTTCGAACCCTTACACTCATAAAAAGAAATCAAAACTCAAAAAAGTTTTGATTGTGTCTAGGATGAAAATGTAGTTCCAGAAGTAACATGGCGTAACGGTTTCTTTTTGTAAATGCAGCAATGCCATGCAATTATAACCCAAGAACATGGAGCATTATAGCATTCTGTGCGTGCATGCGATTTTCTGCTTGTGGAAAGACGATGGAGTTTGGAGCCTCAATAACATTGTCAGTCACTTCTACTCCTCTTTCAGCAGGCAAACAATGCATGAAATAAGCTTTTGGGCCTGCTGTCTTCATAAGAGCATCATCAACCTGAATCGAAACATGCAAATCAATCAAGACGGACACACAATTGAGATTGATCATACAAGGGAGGAAATTTGATAAGCAAAATAAATAATGATGGAAATTAGGTATAGAATGGAACACAGCTGATCAGGTTTCAATCCATTCAAGAACTGAACTATGTATAATGCAATTGTACGCACAAGTTGCAACACATAAATCTAATTAAAACTCATAAGATATCATTCATAATTCAAGCAGATATTTCTAATTATATATTTAAATAATATTAAAGCATAAAGGATTTTAGCATTTAAGATGGCATTGTCAAACCCAATACCGGCATCCCAGGAATAGCATTATGAACTAAATTAGTATCGCTATTACCCAATGTTTATATGATGATATCAATATCTAAAAAGAAGAAACTGAGCTAAAGGCACCTGAAATCCTTGAAACACTTGACGACGATATGCAGCCTCTTCCTTTTGTCCCATGCTAGCCCACACATCTGAGTACACGACATCAGCATCTTTAACTGCTTCCTTAGGATCATTTGTAATCTCAATCTTGCTGATCCCAGCTTTCTGTGCCTTATCAACAGTCTCTTTATCTGGCTCAAAACCTTTAGGGCAGGCACAGACAAAGTGGAAAGGAACAACTGAAGCAAGCAACAACCAAGAGTGCACAATATTGTTTCCGTCCCCAACATAGACAACCTGAAATTTGCATTCACATAAAACCAAAGTTAAACTGTACAGACAATTCTAGATCCGCAATATAGAACATAACAAAGGTGCAATGGAAAGAAAAGACACCTTTGTTCCTTCCAACCGGCCAATATGTTCAATAATTGTGAGTGCATCTGCCATTATTTGACAAGGGTGGTTGTAATCTGTCAAGCCATTAATGACAGGTACACTGGAAAATTTGGCCAAATCAAGAATGTCCTGCAACCAAAATGAAAATGAATTGCATCTTTACTCATAAAATTAACCCAGACTAGAAGATGCATCAAACACAAATCATGTGGACCTTTTAAAGCAATCCTCTGTTCCCAATGTTTCATTTAAGCAACAAAAACCTTATATATAATAACTCCACAAAATCTCACTAGTTAGTATCATACCTGATGAGCAAAGACACGTGCCATAATAATGTCATTATAGCGAGATAAAACCCGAGCAACATCACGAGTTTCTTCACGTTTACCCATCTGGATATCATCTGGTCCCAAATATATAGCATGACCTCCAAGCAAGAAAAACCCAGTCTCAAATGAAACCCTTGTCCTCATTGATGGCTTTGCAAAAATCATAGCCATGGACTTCCCCTTAAATGGAGTAAAGGACCTATCTCCTGATTTCAGCTGTGCCTTTACCTCTGCGGCCCTATCTAAGATCTTCAATATGGTGGCTTTATCAAAATCGCTACTATGCAAAAAATCCTTCTTCTCCCCTTTTGCTGCAAAATAACAAGCAAAACTGAGAAGTACCATAAACCATGTAAAGCTAACAATGTGTCCATTCAAACTATTGAACAGAACTTTTGCAAGAGCTTTTGATACATTTAGTATTTGATTAATTTTATATTATAAATGCTGCATAAAATTTTGAACAAATAGCGAACGAGCCAAAAAAAAAAAACTTCAATTATAGATGAGCTCATAAGCATGTAAAAGTACAAAACCTACATTACATGAAAAGAAGAACAAAATTATCTTTGCACTAAACGTTTCAATTATTATGCCATAACTAAGTAACAACCCTAACTCCAAGCACAGTAACCAAATTAACTTCTCAAATGAATTGTGAGATTATGCCCATCCCAATACAGAAACAAATAGAAGTTTTCCAAGAGACTAAAGTGTAAAACAAAGAATCGAACCTGTCCCATTGGCGGAGGAAGAAGGTGGTGACGTGGCAGAGGAGGCCTGGCAAGAGATATGGGTTCGGCGTACCAACGAAGGAGCAGCGAAGTAAATGCTAGAAGATCGGAGATTTCCGCCGTCGAAGGAGGAGGCGGGGACGGTGAGAGGCGACTGGTGTGACCGGAATGTGCAGTGGCCAGATATCGCCGCCATTGTTTTTGGTGGGGAAGCGAAAATGCCGGTTTTTAACGGGACCGGGGGGGGGCTTAAGAAGGGGTTTATTAAGTATGACATTTGTATTGGGTGCTTGGACAGTGAATAACATTAATTTCTTTTGTTAAGTATATAACGATCTAATAATTTTAAAAATTTTATTTAAAATTATATATTCTTTAATAAAAGAAAACACATATATTTTGAAATAATTTCAATTTTTTAAAAATTTTAGTTTCAACCCTTAAATCCACGCCGACCGTCATTTTTTGTCGTTGATGAAACTCTACTCGACCTCATCTTCCCCCAATGATCAAAATCCTTATAAAATTACGACCGATCGACAGTTGATCAACGACGAATCAATGTTTTATACTCTGCAAACCCCATGATGAAAATCGTCATCTCACACGATTTTGACGGTCAATTGACGACAAGTATGGTAGCATATAACTAGGATGATGACATAGACTATGTTGCGATGGTTGTTGTGGCCGAAAAGGGCGTCAAGTTAGAGTTAGGATTTGAAAATTTTAGGTATTTTGAGACTTTTTATAATTTAAAAGCAATTATGATTTTTTAAATATAATAATATTTTAAATAATTTTAAAGAAAATTAAAACTATTATATTGTGATATGTGTCACTTAACGGAAAAAACTAACGGTAGTTATGTACCAGGCATTAAAAGTGATCACGTTTGTAACATTAGGCACCTCGATAGTCCAAAAAATACTATAGACACCTATTCAGGTAAAAAATGTATAGTTTAGGTACTTATTTATGTATAAAAGCCTTAGTATTACAAAGGTTAATGTATAAATAAGTGTCGATACTATATTATTATTTTTATTTAGGTATCTAAATTATTTTTTATTCAATTTAATTGTCTAACGTTATAAATGTTACATACCACAATTGTAACGATCGTTACAAAATTTCTTTATCGACCACATATCACGTTTAAAAGAAAATTAAAATTTATATTTAAAATTAAAAATTAAAAACTATAATTTTTAAAAAAACCTTTGATTTTTTTAAAATCTAAAAAAAAACTCTAAACATTAAAAACCTTAATTGTAAAATCTAAAAATCAGTCGTCTATGAACAATTATCGCAGTTTTTGCCGATCTCCTAATGACCGTCACACTACCCCTAAATTCCTAAACTTAAATTCTTAAATTCCAAACATTTAATCCCTAAAAATCTTCTAAATCTCTGTGACCAACCTTGACAGTCCATCGTTTGCTCGACCGTGGCAGTCGACCGTTTGATCACTTACCTTCGGTCATTCTGCAATTTGAGAAAAGTGAACGAGGATGCAGGTGGGAGGAGACAATTACAGGTACGCAGAATTGAAGGAATTGGTTTTTTTTAATGATTTTAAAATAATAATTTTTAAAAAATAATATTTTTAGAAAAAAATTAAAATTATATAAATAGTAAATGTATCATTTAACATTCTATTTTACTTATGTCCTGTGTACTTAAAATTACAGCGTGTATAACTTTAAATATTTAGATTGATTGAAAAATAATTTAATTAACTAAATTAGAAAAATGATATAATTTGGACATTAATTTTTTATATTAAACATATTATAAAAATGTATTTTTTTAAATGCAAAATACACAAATCATCAATTAAGTTTTTTATCACTCCTGTTTTAATCGTCCAAATTTAAAAAAATATCAATTTAATAACCAAACTATATACATTAAATTCTTTTATTCATTTCTCCGTTAATTTACTAAGACTTCACTAAGATGTGACATTTTAACCATTTGTTTGACTTTTCAAATTTTTTATTTCCGCATTTAAAAAAACAAATTTTTTATTTCCATTTATCGTTTTCTTCTTTAATTTCATTTCTTCTTCGTTCTATCATCCGACTGTTAAAGCTACAGAGGATAAAACTGAGAATCTGGAGACATCAATCGATCAACTTCTTAATGTTGAAAAGCAGATTCATTGGCTGGTGATGTGATCGCTACCAAGAAAGCCTTCACTAAGATTTTACAGCTTTGCTTTGAAGCTAAATACTGAAAATCTCTCAATGAACAAATCATTAATTTGTGCAGAACCTTGCATTTGGCTTCCCTAATCCTTCTCGAAAGCTTCTGATCATTTTTCTTTTATCTTTGAAACTCAATGACTTGGAATCATTGTAAATTACAATGCTCTCTTCAAACACGTCCTTCTCGTTTCTCCGACTCTTCCATACAATAATATGATGCAATTCGTTTTGTTGTTTAAATAGAGATTATGGCACTTCAGTGATCATCAGCGACTACCCTCTCTTCTCAAAACTGCTTTAATCATTTCGACGAGTACCCTATCTTCCCAAACCGACGTTATTTTATTAAGTACCTCAACTATTAAAAGTTATAGAATGGTCCCTTAATTATAGGATGTTATTTTATTTAGTCCTCTGACCGTTAAATGTTACAAAATGGTTACTAAACTATTCATATGTTTTACACTCGTATTTTTCTATTAAAAATTGATGATTGTTTGAGCTGGATGTTAACCTATTGATTGAGATTTGACAAAATCATATTTTAATGATGTCTACTAACACCGTCGTTGCTTTCAAGCATAGACTCGACGGTATAATATTTTAAGCATCGGTTCGATGACACAATGTAAATAAAGAATCAACTATAAAAGAAAACTCAAATGTTATAGGATTAGATTTTATCATATCTCAATTAACAGGTTAACTCTCAGCTCAAACTGCCGTCAATTTTTAACGGAAAATAATGAGTTTAGAATAAATGGATTTAGAATAAATGAATAGTCATATGATAATTCTGTAACTTTTAATAGTCGGATTACTCATCAAAATAATGTCCTATAGTTGGGGGATCATTTTATAATTTTTAATAATAAGAAAACTAAACAAAATAGCATCCTATAGTCATGATATACTTTATCCTAAGTATTAATCTTTGATAGTTTAATCGATTTTATTTTAATAATAAAACAATATATTTTATAAAATTAAATTATTAATAATTAATTTATACTCTATAATTCATAATAAGTAATTGGGATATGCTTTTAATCTAATTTCCGGACAACCTGGGCGAGTCTTTTATTTCTAAGAAAGTTAAAACACATAAAAATCATGCAGGATTTAAATCTTTATTTTTTTTTCACAGCACGAAATGGAAAGACATGGCAGGCATTCATTCGTCGGCAGTTGATCTTTTTAGCCTACAGTGACATGCTTCTCATTAGAAAGAGGAAGCAGGCCCTTTTCTCGGCATGTCTCGACAGCTCCTATGAACATGTCTGCCAAGCTATATTCAAACCGAAACCCCAGCTCCATCAGCTTTTTTGAACAGAATTCAATACTCTTCAAGTCATCATTCACATCTTTGAACCTGACCAAAACTTGTCTCGTCAGGCCATGAATCAAAATTAGAGTGATCGTATAGGAACTTTGAATCATGTGAAGGGAACAGAAGGGGTTTGTTTACTTTGTTGGAACATCATATTCAGGGTACTTTTCTCTGAGCATTTTGGCAAGGTCGACAATGGTAGCATGGTGAGAGGCGAAAATGTATCGGCCTTCGGCTTTCGGATTCTCGAAAAGAAAGATATGAGCTCTACACAAGTCATCCAAATGAATGAATTGGCCTTGTTTTATGATCGAATAATGAGCTTCATTCCCTGCATTTGTCAAGACATCTCATTAGATTCAACCTACTATTGGCACGTTTTGGAATTACAGAAGCCTGTACCAGTGATTGGAGAAAGTGCAGTTATGAGGCTTGGCGGCATCGACTGCATAATAAATGGACCAACCACTAAAGGTGGTATTATGCTGACGAAATCTATGTTATTTTCTTTGGCAAACTTCCAGGCTGCTTGCTCAGCCATTGTCTTGGAGACAAAATACATCTATACTACCAGGGGAAACAAAGGGTTAGAATTTGACCATTTCTTTTGTTCTTGGTAAAGCCGGAAGAAATACTAACCCATCCGGTCATTTTCTTGGCCTGGATAAATTCAAGGTCGCTCCAACAGCTTTCATCATAACAAGGCCTTTGTTGTTCTGCAACGTCGATAGTTCCAGCAGATGACGTGAACACTAACCTTCGAACAGTTTCGGATTTGGCACATGCTTTCATGATGCTTAACACACCATTGATCGTCGGTCTTATGACTTCGTTCTGCAACTCAGACCAAAACCTTTTTACTTACAATCAGGAACAAACATAAGATTTTATGTAATGAGATGAACTTATAATATTTTAGGAAATAATTAACTTATAAAATTTTAGAAGGCAAAAACATATTATCAATAGCAAAATAATATCTAAAATATATGAGATTGACTAGCTTATGTATTAAAATACCTCGGGGTCCTTGGACTCGAAATCCATAGGTGTGTCGACATGGAACACACCGGTGCAGCCTTGAATTACATCATCAAAGCTTCCATCATCACCTAAATCAGCTTTCCAAAGAGTTAGGCTTGTCTTTGCTTTAGGTAGTTCCAGTAAATGTTTCACCTTCTTCAAGTTGTCTACTCCATTAATAAAAAACAAAAATGGAAATTATCAATTAAAACATTATTAAACTAATAATTTCATTTAAAAAAATAAAAATGATGGTTAAATCATGCAACCAGGGTCCCGCACAGTGCCGCGCACGACATAACCACGTTCTAGGAGCAGCTTGATGAGCCAAGAACCGATGAACCCAGACGCGCCTTTGACGCACACGATCTCGCCTTCCTTCTCTGATGACCCCATTATGAAATTCTCTGTTTTTAACACTAACTGGACTCTGTTTTTCAGGTTGGCTTATGATTCTTATAAACGACGATATAGATTCTCTCCATCTAACTCATGGGTCTTCATCACGTGGTAACCTGCCGGTTTTGCACGTGGGTGGTAGTTGGCTCGGTCGTTAACTACTATATTGTCCACTACACGTGGTATCTTACGTGCTTTGTTTCACTTGATGACTTGAATTTGAATCCTAACAAAAGGTCAATGCTACCCACCTATATTATCTAGGTTTTTTTTATTATTAATATGTGATAAATACAAAATACAATACTATCTAGGTTAAATTATGCTATTAGTTACTATTAATATATATATATATATATTTGAACAATGTTAACTCATACATAAAATAAAAATATTAAATCAAAGATACGAGAAAAACAAACATTTCGTTGAGAATGATGTTAAACACCAAAAAAACCCAATAAGTTTTATAAAACTCATTATCTCTGTTGAACGAAACATTTAAAAAGTGATAAAGGAGTGGTGAGTAAATGGTGGACAAACCAATCTGAAAATAAATATCGTGAGGATCTTTGTGTGAATATCAACACGACCGTAGAAATATATAAAAAACGTACCAAAAGTCATAAGAAACATATCATAAGAGTGTAGAATAACGTGTAACAAGAGTATAAAAAATATGTCACAAGAATAAAAAAATTTATTAGTATATTTTGAAAAAAAATGACATATTATGAAAAAATAACAAGAATAATAATAATTATTGTCAAAAAACAACTAATAATATGGTACAAAAATATTGGGAGAAAACTTAAGTTAAAAAACCCTTAAAAGATACTATTAGTATATTTTTAATCATTATAATTAGGTGTTATATTTTTAGTTTTTATAGCTTTTAAATTTTTAACTTTTATCGTCACCCAAAACCTTGTAAACTTGTCAAGTTAAAAGTCAAATTTGCAGTTAGTCCTCATGATATACATAAATTGTAAATTTGATTTTTTTCTCTATTTTAATCATTAATCCCAATAATTTAATTTCTTTGGCATTAGTCGTTTAAGGTCAGAATTGAAATTTTAAATGTTCACATGTTAATTTTAATTAAAAAAATATAAATACTTTTTAATATAATCTAGATTATTCAGATATACTCATTTTTAAATTAAAGGATGATAAACATTTCAATATATTTGATCTCACGTCTTCTCGCATGTTACACCATCAATGGTGTCAATTAAACTAAACTCAAATAATAATTTTTTTTAAAATAATATGATCTAATATAAAAAATTAACCTATGATATTTATTTGAATGGTCATTTTAATCCATATTATTTCTTTAAATATTTTAACACTCGGTGTTTTAATTTTTTATCAAAATGGGCATTGTTGGATGAAAATTATTACTTAATAACAGTCAACACATGTTGCTGATGTAATATTTTACATGCGTCTAATTACTGATGTGACATATGTCAAATGATATGTCATCGCATAGAGTTAAATGTTGCATGCTGCATCATCTCTTTCGGTGTCTTGTTGTATGTCATGTGATCACCTTATGTAACATCTCATGTGACATGTCAATAATTTAACACATGTTATAATGTCATTCTTGCAATATGAATTAATCGTTAGTCAGTTAATAATTTTCACGTAACATGAGTCATTTTAACTAAAAATTAAAACTAAAATGCTTAAAAAAGTATATGAATTTGTAAAAAAAAAAGAATATGAATCAAAATAATCATTTGAATAAATGTTCAAAATTAATTTTATCAGTATGTCAAATTATATTTACACTAAATGACATATACCTACAACTTTCGTAGATGAAAGGAAACTAGGTGCCAAATATAACTATTAAAGTACACGTGTCATTGAAAAAAGATTTACTATAATTTAGGGACCATCCATACCATTATCCCAAAACTGAAGTTATTCCATATAAAACAACCCTAATCAAATACAATTGCTGCCGTGATGTGCGCTGGATAGATGATTTTACGCGCATTTAAGGTAGTAGATTGGAGTATTAATGGGTAAACCAAAAAGGGCTCAAAATCCTGTCTTTTATTTTATTAAGAAGGTGACATGTGTTAAACATATAATTGAAAGATTAAATTTATTAAATTAAATTAAAAGTATGATTAAATTAAAAGATTATATAAGTATTGAAGATCAAATGTAAAATTATATTAATTTTATTAAATGTCAAGTTAATACTTCTGTTAAGGTTAACAGTAAATGAATTGATTGATATCATTTAAATATTTAAGGGATCATAGTTATTATTTACCCTAAAATTTAATACATCCGCCTATGCGTACCCTGACATCGGAGCTATTCCGATTGTCCATAACGAACAGGGCGAACTTTTGAGTTCAGCATTTTCAGCTTACCTAACATGCAATGAACAAATATTTTTTTATTTCATGCTGATAATATACATATGGCTTCCTTATGCAGAACAAGTGGACGATGTTAATCTGTCACACTTTTAATTTTTATGGTAATTCGACTCGCACTCACATTTTTTTAATCGTAGAACTGAATTCTAAAACCGTGATTTGACAGGGTTCAGGACAAGATCAATTTGTTCAGTTCAAGTGAAGAGTGAAACAAAATCCGCGGTAAGTTTCACGGATGTTTCGTTTCCATGAATTAAAGTATCAACAGTACAACCCCCGGCTTTCTCAGCGTTGGTTTTCCGATAGCTTCACCAGGTGGAGCCGTGGAGGATCTAGAAAGTAACGTGGACTACCAAATGACGGCCTTAATTTTAACACTTGGGTTTGTCCCCCTCTCCCTGTCGGGCCATTCAAATCTACTTTTTTTCTTTCTTTTGGGGCACTGCAATGCCCCGCAATAAAGGGTTTTCAATGCCCTCGTGTCGTAACCGCTTCTACTTCCACAGCTATATAAACCTACAAAATCTGTTTCGAGATTATTTTTTTCCCATTTTTGATTCTTTGCTGCTTTCCCAGAGAAGCCAAAAAATGAAGCATTGGGGTCTGGTTTTGTTTGTTTCTCTTTTGTTTCAACTAGGAACTTTTCTTCGGCATGTCAAAGCTGACGATGGATTTGTGAAAACGAAAGGAGTTCAACTAATGTTGAACGGAAGTCCTTTCTACGCAAATGGGTTCAATGCTTATTGGCTCATGTACATGGCCTCTGATTCATCTCAGAGAAGCAAAGTCTCCTCTGCATTTGAACAAGCCAAACAGCACGGCCTCGCCATAGCCAGAACTTGGGCTTTCAGTGATGGTGGAGACAGACCTCTTCAGTACTCACCTGCCTCCTACAACGAACTGATGTTTCAGGTTCAAATTAAAACATTTTCACGTCCAAAAAATCCGGTCCTTGATCTTGTTCTGATTGTTTTTCTTTTCTTTTTGTTTCCGTGAAGGGATTGGATTTTGTAGTATCTGAGGCCAAGAGATATGGTATTAAGCTAGTTTTAAGCTTTGCAAATAACTATGATCAATTCGGAGGGAAGAAACAGTATGTGAACTGGGCAAGAAATCAAGGGCAAACCATCGGCTCTGATGATGATTTCTTTACGAACTCTGTTGTTAAAGAATACTACAAGAACCATATCTATGTCAGTCTCTGTTTTCCCCCCTTCTCTCTTACACCCTTATCTTTTTTTTTTCTGAATAACATGGGGTGATTTGACAACGCACACAATTGATGTAAAGAGCAAGTTTTTTTTTTTTTAATTTCGTTCTTGTTTTTTGCAATAATAGACTGTTCTTACAAGACGAAACACCCTGACTGGAGTGGCTTACAAAGATGAACCAACTATAATGGCGTGGGAACTTATGAATGAGCCCAGGTGCCTCTCGGATCCATCAGGAAACACCATGCAGGTCAGCTATATATCATCATCAGGCTGTTTTGCTTCACTGTTAATCTGCTTTCGTTTCAATTTTCAAAAAACTTTTTTTCTAGTTTTTTTTCTTCTCTCTGCTGCATTTAATGCCAATGGTTTCAGTCGGTGCTTTTTGCCGACTCATGCATGATCCATTAAAGTGGAGTTGGAAGTTGTAACTGCACCACTTTACTATCAGCATTTTGTTTTAATGGATTCATCTTTTACCTGCCTCCTATGTTCAAACTATCGACCAACAGATTTTGCTTTGATTTTGTTTTCTGAACAGGCCTGGATTGCAGAAATGGCTTCCCATGTGAAGTCCATTGATGGTAACCACTTACTAGAAGCTGGTTTAGAAGGGTTTTATGGGCCATCGTCGTCTCAGAAACAGCAGTATAACCCTAACTTTCAAGTAGGAACTGATTTCATTGCAAACAATCAGATTCCCGGAATTGACTTCGCAACAGTTCATTCTTATCCTGATCAATGGTAATTTATATGCTCAGTGAAAATAGTATAAAAGACAATGTATCAAATCCTTCCCTGAATTTGAACCATTTGCTTGTTGAGCAGGTTACAGAGTTCCAATGATGAAAGTCAGATTGCCTTCTTGAATACTTGGCTAAACAATCACATCCAAGATGCTCAGAACATCCTTCAGCAACCATTGCTTTTTGCCGAGTTTGGAAAATCTTTGAAAATTGCAGGTCCTAACCAAAGAGATGAGCTGTACAACACTGTGTACACAGCAATTTACTCGTCGGCCAGAGGCAGAGGTGCAGCTGTTGGTGGGCTATTCTGGCAACTTTTAGCTGAAGGAATGGACTCTTACGGAGATGGATACGAGGTGATCATGAGCCAAAGCACCTCAACTGTAAACCTCATTGCTCAAGAGTCTCGGAAACTTAATCGGATTCGGAAGATGTATGTGAGGTTGAGGGACATGGAGAAATGGAACAAAGCAAGGCATGTCAGAAGAGCACCATGGTGGTCTGGAAATGGTGTCAGTAACACAGGAGGAAATTGAGAAAGGAAATGTATGATGGTTTTAGAATAATTTAAGTATTTGAAGATCAAGTAACAAGATGTACTGCCAGTTTTATTTTACATACAGGGTTTATAACGAGGTGAATGCTCTTATAGAAATGAATTGTTATAGCTAAAGATTAATAGATCCTGCAATTATGTACTAGTCTGATGATCCAGCTTATGTTGTGCTGTAAGCTCGAGTATTTGCTACTGAATGAATCCAAGAAGAGAGAATCATAAATGAAGCAAACGGAGTTCGAGTTTCTTTTAAATCTGCGAGGAAACTTTATAATCTACGTATACAAAGCATTACTCCTATATTTTTCATCACTATGGAACAGCAAAGGAAAGCAGGCTGTGGCCCCCCGGCTTTTCGTCACCGGTTCAATTCAAACAGCACAGCCTCTGCAAGTATTCAAAATTTTATATAACAGTTCCATCTCTGATTGTTGCATTCTTCAGTATAACAGTGATCCCAGACCTAATATAAAACCCATCTTCTGGTCTCTCAGCTTCTTCAACAGCCTGAGTGCGATCAAAGTAAATTAAAATTATCAAAGGGAACAAGCATTCCACGTTCATAGAAACAAGGAAAGCAATACTTACGTCAGCATTTGATATAATCACACCTTTTCCTATCTTGGCGTTCTTGTCAATTATGCAATTCCTTGCAAAACACAAGGCAAGAAGCTTTTAGTTAATTGTGTAAGGAATTATTTAGATCCAAGAACTAGGTTCTGTCGATCGGCAGATGATTTTTTCGATCTAAATCTTACTTAATCTTGGAATTTTGTCCAACTCCGACGGGAACCTTTCCATTGGCTAGCAGAGATGCTATCTCGGACTCAGTTTGGTAGTAGTCTGCTCCCATCATCATGGTATCCTGCAAAGAGAACATGTATATGTTTTCACACCAGAAGCAAGGAAACGAATTGGGATTTCAGATAAAACTAAATGTAAGGATCTTTAAAAGAAATTGAGAGAAAAGCAGGTGCTTCTAAAATACAGTTTATCATCAAAAAATAGTACATCTAATCCCCTTTTAGATGCTTTTCTATGGGAAGGAGAAGACGATGGGTCACCTCAAGCTGAACGCCAGACTCCAAACGTGAGCGCACACCAATTATAGAGTGCTGTACACTACATTCTCGCAAGAAACATCCATGCGAAATTATGGAGTCAACAATCTGCAGTGACACAGTAACCATGAGACAAGGTGATCAAATTATTATTTATGCCATAAGCTAAAAGCTTAACATCATACCCTGCATTTATCAACTTTGGTAGGAGGCAAGAATCTTGGAGATGTATAGAAAGGTGTCTTAGGATCATAAAATTGAAACTTCGGTGGCTGCATGGAGAACACGGACAATCATTTTTCAGGGAATAGATACCGAATGCCATGTTTAGGCTTATGAGAAGTACATGGGTGGAATGAGTGAGGTGCCTCATAGTGCAACATACCAAATGAAGAAATACGGCATATGATTTCGATATCTATATACAGACATGATGACATGGCAGCATCTTAATAGAAGGATCTATATTTGTTTATTTTGCAGAAGTAATGCAAAAAAAATACATAAATGCTTGTTACTGCAGATGGCTTCTTTAGGATCTATACTTATTGGATTATTGCAACTAGATATAAATGAGGGGGGATTTAGTATCTTTGTTGATTTGCAAAAGACATAAAAGGTTAAAACTTTTACAGAATAAGTGAGAGCAACCTGTTCTGTGAGGGCTAAATTGGCATCAAAGAAGGACTTTATTGTTCCAATGTCTTCCCAATAGTCGTTGAACAAATATGCCTGCAAACATTCAAACAGCCAGAAACTCAGCAGTTTGATCACTAGGTTAGAAGTCCTCGTTATTGCAAATAGTAACTGCTTACTGCACACAGTGTAAAACTAAAGGTGACAGTTCTTTTGAAAGTCAACTTACCTGGACATTGTGTTCCTTTACAGCTGATGGAATAATCTCGGAGCCGAAGTCATTGCATGATGGATAGCTCCGAGTCAGAAGCTTTAACAAGACATCGGTTTTAAACACATACACACCCATTGATGCAATGTATGGATATCTTGCAGCATCTTGCGCTGATAGGCCTAATATGGAGGTATCAACTTGCTGCATACAAGTGTGAAATCAAATTCCAGTAAACATACAGTTTTAGCTTTGATTATCAGGAAATAATAATTCGGAAACAAAACAATTATGAAAATGTGAGTTATGAGAACAAGCATGTACCATAGCTTTAAGATTGGGCCCCTTTGGTTTCTCAGCAAACTGGACGATCCGTCCTGCTCCATCTATCTTCATTAATCCGTAATCTGATGCACGGCTGCAAAAAAAGAAGGTGAAATTATTTCCTGATTCCGAAGGAAAGGAACCATTGTAAATACTTCATGCCCTGAGCAACAGTAATTTAAAAGCAATATTCAAATAATCCGAAAGCAAGATAGAGGACCAATATTCAAATATTGCATAACATTGTAATAAATCTGTTCCCTGTAACTCACACCTTACACTGAGAGAATCACATATAATGAATACTTTTGTCTCAGAATATTTGACATGACATAAGAAAACATGATAAATACCCGTCATCCATTGGTAAACATGAGACTGTGATATCAGCATTTGAGTCGATATGCCTCTGCAAGAACAATGACCATGGTTTAGCAGATGATTTTTCAAGGCACAATCTTCATTTATGAGAACGTACAAAGAAGAGGCTTTGAATGCCATACTTCAGCTGTTAGGAATTGCACAATGTACCTGAACAAAATCCATATAGTCTGCACGGTAAAGATGATCGCCAGACAATATCAATACGTGCTCTACATCTTTGGCCTTGGCATCCTGATAGCAAAACAAATCACATTCAGTGAACTTCAGGGGTAAGGCGGATGATCTCAGCTCAAACACAAATCATAGTAACTAACCTCAAAGACCCACACAAATTGCCTCACGGCATCAGCTGTGCCTTGGAACCACTTTTTCCCTGCTTCTCCTGATGTTTGAGTGGCCGCCAGAACCTGTGACAGGCAACGTAGTTTTCATCAAAAAATTTAGAAATGTAATGAAAACTTCATGAGGATAAAATTATCACAAGAAAAATGGATTTCTGAATAATACGCATAATTCAGAACATCTATCCCAGTATTGCTAAATCAATATAGCCTTACCTCCACAAAACCATCTCCAAAATTTACGCCATTTCCGAAGTTGTAAATCCGAGCTAAGTGACGGTTGAGGGAAAAGGAGTTAAACTGAGTTAAGATAAATATCTTGTTTATCCCACTGTTGATACAGTTGCTCATTGGAATATCAATCAGCCTGTAACACCCTCCAATTGGAACCTGAAAACCAAACAATAATAGAAAACTTTAATCCCACCAATGTGAAACTTCAAATTTGATGATTGGGTTTCATTTTCAAGTAGAAAAATATTTAATTTCAATCCAAAACATTAAAAAAAAATCTCCTGACAATGGTTTCTTACTGCTGGCTTAGCTCTTTTGCGAGTAAGAGGAAAGAGGCGTGTCCCAGCACCGCCCCCCAATATAATGGAAGCCACCTTCTTCGGGTCTGCTTGTGGAGTCTCAAAATTCTGACAATCAAAAGATTCAAGTGCCAACATTAAAAAGAATCTGAAAATCAGAAAGAAAGAAAAATAATAATAGATCTGACACTAGTTGTTTAACCCTTGGATCAAGCACGACATTAAAAATGCTTTCTTTTACTTACCATGGTCTCCTTATTAATTTCTGGGGTGAGAATAGAATAAGCAACGCCAAGCTTAGTTTTTTTTACCCCATTTTCAGGTCTCAAGCTCTTCCATAACTGTGTTCCAAAGTCCCTGCTTTTAAGACCTCCTCTGACAGTCTCACCCCAGAAAACTGTGCCTACATTACAGCAACCTTTGTTGACACTAACCGGGCTGGCATTGGCCTTGAGTGGCATGCAGAATGATTCCATAGCTGAATTTATTTACCAATAACCAAACGATTCTCCGGAAATTCTAACAGAAAAGAAAAGGAATAAATATTAAAAGACCAAACCTCGGCAAAAATGGAATCTTAGTAAGCAAATAAAGAAAATCAGACAAAAAGAAAGCTACTTTGTTAGTGGTCACAAGATTTCATGCCCACAAACTGTAACTACTAACTTGTAAGAACAGTGATCAAAGAGTGATTGATTAAAAAAGACGACTTTAGGCTTCATCGAAGTCAAAGAAAAATCGAAAGTCCGAAACACCCAGATCCGATAAAAACTCTAAACCGAAGAACCCATGTGCAACTTTTTTTCTTTAATTCTCTACCTGAAAAAAGAAATATCTTTTGGTTGAAGTGAAAGTGAAAATTAGTGGGAAAAGGTCACGGAGCAATGAGTATAAGTGGGAAAGATTTTGATCAAACAAGAAATAAGTGGGAAAGATCCATCTTGGTTTAATGAATATCGGCGTGTGAGCCGTCACGAGAAGCACGAAAGTTGGATCTTTTTCTTTTCTTACGGTAGTATAATTACGTTTCCTTTGCTCTGTAATTTACTTTTCTTAGAGTCTTATGCAGTTTCCCAGACTTGGTGAGCTTTCTTTATTTCTTCTACTCACCAATGTATTTGGGCCATCGACGTACATGGCCAGGAATAGCAGATGGGACCCTTTTTTTTCTCATCTTGAATCATCTTATATGTATTTATAATATCCGTCTTAATTAAAATTTTGACGCCGATACTTCGGGTAACGGTACGGAATTTAACGATTAGAATCAAATAGACCGTAATAGGGCTAGAGAGGCCCTTATGCCTCAAAGTTTTAGAAAATTACAATTTAATTTCTCAAACTTTTAAAGAAATTATCATTTTTAATTTTAAAATTCTAATAATTTAAAAAAAAAATTTAGTTAATTCTTCTTTTATAAGAAATTCAAAAAGAAATCTAAATTCCATTAATTTCTTATAAGAAATTTTAAAGTAATAGATATATTTTGTGAGGCATCCAATTATTTGATAGTATTCCAAGCTTAAATCGGCCGGTGGTGACATTTATTTTCAAGAGTAAAATCAGGATATCCGAATAATTTAGTAATACAAATATTTGATATAGGTTTGGGCCATCTACTTATTATCTGAATCTCTTTTAAAGCACAATAAGGTTTCGCATAGACCTAGGCCCATTGAAGGAAGAGAAGTCTTGGGGCTGTCCTGTAAATTCAGAAGTTTGGAAAGCCTACCTCAGAATCTCCACCACTAAGCGCCATCACCTCTTTCCAGTTTTCATCCCGTTGTATAGCTACAGAAGAAATGACCATAACTCTCCCCAACGCATTTCTCCAAATCCCCCCTTCATTCTCCACCAGAAAGGTAAATACGCCAATGCCCGAAACTCATTTAATCCCTTCTTCAACCCTTTAATCATCCAACTTAACGGGTTCCCCTTTTTTTCTTCCTTTCTTCGTTTGTTAACAGGCGGTGACTGCAACTGGAGGGAGCTACAGACCACAAATTACTTGCCGGAAGAAAGAAATCCACCCGGAATTCTACGAGGATGCTAAAGTTTACTGCAACGGAGAATTGGTGTTGACTACAGGTGGGACACAGAAGGAGTACGTGGTGGATGTTTGGTCGGGCAACCATCCTTTCTACCTCGGAAACAGGTCGGCCGTTCTTGTGGACGCGGACCAGGTCGAGAAGTTCCGTAAGAAGTTTGAAGGGTTGCCTGAGATTATGGAAATTCCGGTGCTTAAAGGCGAGATTGTTTTGCCCACTAAGAAGAAGTCAGCTGGTAAAGGCAAGAAGAAGTAGATTAATTAATTGCTACTAATTTAATTAGTTATTTTTCCTTGTTCAGCGTTGCTAATGGTACGGTATTGACATGCTTGGTTTGTGTTTGATATTATGCTTAATTGATAAAAACGAGTACTTAATCTTGTGACAGGCAGGGCGTTGGTCATGGTAATTGGTTAACAAAAATGTAGAAAAGAATGACTAACACTCACTAATATCCGTGAATTTGTTTACTGACAGAGATTGTCAATGACATGAGGACCTTTGCTAAATCAGTATTGAGTTCTGAGAAATTTAGGGAACTATTTTTCGTGTTTATGATAGTCATTGTTTTTGGGTTCTAATTGATAAATGCATCCTCGGAATATCAAGTCAATTTTGCTTGTAAACAATCATCTTATTGTTGTGTGTCATTGAACTCGGAATATCAGGCCACCATAGCCAGGTCTAATAAATCTCTCATCACAAAATTGGATTGCTGTATTTCCTGCTGCACTTTCGTTCCTCACTTGAAAACTTGCTGGTTTCATATTTGTCGAAAGGCTGAGTTTTTAGGGTTCCAAATGATGATTGTAGGACATACCCCATTTTCTGGAGGTATTTTAGGCAAATTTGTGCTTCCACCATTTGCATCTCCGCATTATTCCACAATTCATTCAAATCTTATGTATATGGGACAAACTGAAAGGAACATATTATAAATTAAGATATATAGCGAGTTTACCAGAGTAAACGAGGAGGAAAAGGGATGGTATAGATATTTTAATCATTGACATACTTATACTTTAAAAGAAATGATCCATTTATTATAAATTCATAATTGGATGACTTTGAAACGTATTTTTTATCCTAAATTATTAAAGACAAAGCAGGAGCCTTTTGCACTTTCTTTCCACATTTCCCCTTGACTTGACATGGTACATCAATTCCAATTTACGTTAAGATTATTCTAAGTGGATATACACTCTCTTCAATGACAGAATTGTCAAATTAAAAGAAAAGGGCTAATCAAGGAAAAAAAATTATCCTCGACCAATTATTGACCTGTTACCCTTCTCTGTCCTCGCTTGCTCACTCGTTGAGTTGAAAGTAGCAATGAAAATTCGAACTGTCGGGATTCTTCTGCAAATATTTGGTTGAGCTGGTGAAGAATAAAAATCTTATTTTCAAAATGAACTTCAACAACTACAGTAGACAAAACTAATGAAGTATTGGAATGTGAGAGAGGTTGAACATTGGCCTGCTCGAGGCGATTTGACCAAACTGACATATATTTATCGAATATTTATCTTTTTAGCACCGTTTGATATATATTTATCGAAGTGGCACCTTTTCGGCTGAGCTGGCGAAAGGCGCGTCTCCGGGGACGCGCTTTACCCGTGTTTTCGCTGAGTTGGATGCCACGTGTGGAAGGCGCATCCCCGGGGATACGCCTTCACGGGATTCTGATGACTCGACTGTCACGTGTGGAAGGCGCATCCCCGGGGACGAGCCTTCCATTAAATGCCATAAATGCCCCCATCCGTTTTCCCTAACTATCCCTCCTCCTCCCCCTATATAAACCCCCTCAACCCTCCCTCATTTTTCACACCAAAATCATATTCTCCTCTCTTATATAACTCAAATTCTCTAACTATTTGAGTTTTAAATTTGTTATTAGTGGTAAGAAATTTATTTTTATGTTAGTATTTTTTTAAATAGTTATTATATTTTATATTAATATATTTATGTAAATATTATTATTTTTATTAAAATAATATTTATATAATTATTATTTATTTAGAATTATTAATTTTTTTGTGCTAATTATATTGTTTTGTCTACAGTTATAATGGAAAACGAAATGCTGTTGCGATTGGATATTGATCATATCAACAGACATTTTAGCGATATGGTAATATTTTTTATAATTAATGTTAATATTTAAATTTATTTTTATTTTAAAGTTATTATGAATTTATATTATTTTTTATTTTTTATAATGTATATTATTTAGGATAATGATCGTATTTTATAGACTTTTATTAAAAATCCACGTATACCGACACCGGAACGTATTTTGCAATATTTGGCTTCTGTCGGGTTCGGGTATATTGCAACAATTATTGGCGGTTGCAAACTCGAACTTGTCCTAATTTCCGCACTGATTGAGAGGTGGAGGCCCGAGACACACACTTTTCACCTTCCATGTGGAGAGGCCACAATTACATTGGAGGATGTCTCTATTTATCTGGGGCTTCCCGTCGACGAAAATATGATGTGTGGTATGGCGGATGGTGATTGGCAGTCAATGTGCATTGATTATCTTGGAGCTGCTCCGCCAGAGTTTAATGGAGGTATAATAGCTTTATCTTGGTTGAAAGCTAATTTTGAGGTTTTAAATGAAAATGCTTCAGAGGATCAAGCAAAGGCATGTGCTCGGGCATATATTCTATGAATAATTGGAGGAATATTGATGCCCGACAAATCTCGCAACCAGGTGCATTGTATGTGGTTGCGGCATCTGATCGATTTTGATGAAGCTGGAAGATATAGTTGGGGCGCTGCAGTTTTAGCATTTCTTTTTAGAGAAATGTGCCGGGCGATGAATTATAAGAAAACTACTATCGGTGGATGTCTCCTGCTTCTACAATCATGGGCGTGGTTCCGCATGCCTTTCTTATGCTCGATCGTGAATAAACCATACGTATTCCCCTTATTGTTGAGGTAATTTTCGAACTAAATTTTGATTTAAATATTTTCAATTAAATATGGTGATATTTAGTTTATATTATATTTCATAGGTGGTCGTTGAAAAGAAATGACCATAAAAGTATACCTACTGGGTTAGAGGAAATTCGTTTACTTATTGATACAAAAACTGGGTCCGAGGTATGTTTTTAAATTTGTTTAATTATTAATATTTTAATTTAAAATGCTAGATATAATTAGAATATTTTATTTATTTGAATTGTATATTTATATTTCAGTTTCAATGGATACATTATGCGAGCGATGAAGTGAAGGCTTGAATCCCACCCCACCTTAGTGGGTCATTAAAGGTATGGATATCGATTATACCTCTTATATGTTATACTATTATTGAGTGGCATCCAGTTGATCGCATGCTCCTTCAGTATGGTTATACGCAATATATTCCTGGAGCACCTAGGAATTTAGACGATGTGCATAACATAGATAGACGAGGAAAGAAAGATGTTAACTGGGTGGTGAGACACAGAGATTGGATTGCGCTTTGGGAGAACCGATATACACTGTTGGCCCCTCGACAATATTACGCTGAAACTGGTCATATGGTTACGGATAACTATATGGATTGATTTAATGAAAATGGGAAGCCGTTTCTACTTTCGGCGGAAGCACGAGGGGTTAACATTTCTAGGCGCCGAGAAAGACGTCAACCGTCTCAATATCATCGTCCCCCAACGCGTGGACGGAGAGAAGGCGCTACCGGTTCTGCATCAGTCCCACCACATCCTTATCCGTCGATGCCGCAGGAATACATGCCCAGCCCTCCACTTCATATGCCAAGCCCACCAGTTCATATGCCATCTCCATATGGTTACATTCCGAGCCCGCAGGGTTACATTCCTAGCTCGTAGGGTTACATTCCTAGCCCGCCAGGTTACATGCCTAGCCCGCAGGGTTTTATACCATATGGAGGTGCATATACGACTATGTTTAATGATCCATCATATGGTTAATATGCATCTTATTTGGCTGGTGGTGCTTCTCCGCAGACACCTCAATCTCCATCTGGATCACAGACATCGATGTCAATGTTTCCACAGTTTTCACAGTTCCCGGGGAACGGTGGGATTGTTACTAGCACTCCTCCAGGGTCGTTATTTTATACAGGCCCTTCAGCCCCTTCAGCGTCATCTACACCAAATGAAGAAAATGCTGCTGATGATGATAGTGAAGATGAGGAGACTGAAGAACAAGTTCCACGAAGAAATCCTCCACGAAATAGACAACCACCGCCATGTGGAACTCATTCGAGAAGACGACATCGGTGATCCAGTTGTATTTTAATGTTATTTAAATAGTTATATTTCAGAATTTTATGTAATTTGGTTATGTTATTTAAATGTTTCATGGTTGTTACATACATATTTTTAATGTTATTTTTTATTCACATTTAACATTAAATGTTTGATAAATGTTTTTTAAAATACAAATTATATTATTCGAAATTTAAAATAAAAATAAAAATAATATTATTTGAAATTTAAAATTAAAATATAAATTATAGTATTCGAAATTTAACATTAAATTTCAACTTAATATTCCATTTGTATTCGAAATTAAAAGTTATATTCCAATTATAGTTCACAATACTTACATTGAAATTAAATTTATCCATACATATGATTTTATCATTAACATATATATTAAAACGTATACATTAAAATCAACTTATCACTTCACATTTATTCGTAAAAACATCTCGATGCTCATTCCATACAATTTCAATGTCACAATCAACTTATCACTTCACATTTATTCAATTTATCCATAACATTTTATCTAATTTATTCAAACTTCACATAACGTTTTAATTTAAGCTATGAACTTAAATTAATCTATATGTATAATTTATTCTTAACTTGCTGAACTTTCAAAAGAAGTTAAATTTTGGTTATAATTTACCTGATTTCACAATCCATCTAGTGTCCCCGAGGGACATGAGTGACATAATAGGGCAATGATAACATATTCTCTGACAAAATAATGGAAGGGGGTTTGAGTCGATGCTACAAGAGCTGTTTGGCAAAAATAAGAAGGAGTGCGAGTACATTATGGACATCAGCAAAGAAATGTGGACAAATGCATATGACAGGGGGTATCGCTATGGTCATATGACAACAAACTTGGCTGAAGCAATAAATTCAACCTTAAAGGGGGCGCGTCATTTACCAGTCACCGCGTTGGTTAAAACTACTTATTTTCGTTTGGGTCAACTCTTTGCAAAGCTCGGTGGACAAGCTCTTACTTGGATGCAAAACGGCCATATTTACCACCCAAGACTAGTAGTTGATTTACAGAAAAAAAAAATGGCTGCATCAAATGAGATGTTAGTTACAAATTTTTCTCACACCCGTTAATTGTTTCGTGTAACCGAAATGCCACGTCCGTTGCAAGGGATTGGAGTTAACTCTTTCAGAGTTAATCTGCAAGAGAGGTGGTGCGATTGTGGTTTCTTTCAAGCACTCAAATATCCATGCTCTCATGTCATTGCAGCTTGCTCACATTCGTATTTGGACTACAAAAATTATGTTGATCCCGTATACCAACTTTCACAAGTATTCAAGGTATATGAATTTGAGTTTTCGCCCATAGGAAACGAAAGAGACCCAAATGAGATTCAAACTTGGCTTACAATTGTACCAGATCCATTGCTATTGAGAGACTCATGTCGTCCAAAATCTACTAGAATACATTGTGATATGGATATTCGGGATAAGTCAACAGAACAAAAACGATGTGGGCATTGTAGAAACATCGGGCACAATAGAAAAAAATGTTCAGCTCTGTTATCATCATATAAACGTTAACTTTTATGTAATTAATATTGTATTTAAATGAATGTTTTTGTTTCTAATAATTTAATGTTATTGCATTTATATAATTTGTCAATGTATGTACACCTAAATAATTTTTTTTAACTTTTAAATACATAAATATTTTCAATATATTTATTTAATATAATAATTAATATTATTAGTTATAAATTTTTTTAAAATATAATAATAATTTCACCTTCTAAGTAGAGAAAAATGTTAAATTAAACAAATTAAAAGTTATTAAAAAATGTATGTATACGATGACACATTTCATGTTCTGATTGGAGGATTAAATTTATTAAATTAAACTTTCAATAAGACTAATTTCATAAAATATGTAAGTCTTAAAGATTAAATATGTAATTATACTAATTTATTAACTTATGCATAAATATTTTCGTTAAATATTGATAAGAGATGACTAGATTGATAACATTTATATAATTAACTGATAAAATTAATAGATCGATAATCAAAATCAAAAATAATAATATAACCATATGTGTAATATTATAATTTCATACATTTTTCCTATAACTACAATAAAATCAAAACTGGTTTTCATATATTGTTCTATCATATTAATGTAGATAATTCACTCCACCTTTAACACACATTAACAAAATACATTTGATAATTCTTACATTATAATCGAAACACTTTACATAATATATTATTAATTTATAATAATAATAAAAATAAAATATTTATTATTAAACAAAATACCAGTATGGCAGTCGAGTCAGTGAAGACGCGTCCCCGGAGATGTGCTTTCCACACGTGACATCAAACTCAACGAAAACACGGGTAAAACGCGTCCCGGAGACAGCATATCTCACGGTTGGTATCGTCTGCAATGAACATGAGCTGATCCATTTGGCTACAAAGGAAAACTGCGACTGTTGGCTCAGTACCCACGTGATATTCATATTCCTTTTCTTTCTTATTTTTCGTTTCGTTAGAGAAAATCGCGCGTGATTTTCATACCAGACCTTGTTTTCACTTTTAATGTCTTATGAGAGAGTGCAGGTTGAACCAATCAACGTTTCACCTCCCCACGGACAAAACCTCGAGTTCCATTGTCATGTTTCACAAGTTCATGATTTTCCCAAAAAAGAAATACTCAAACGGCAAATAGGATTGGTTTAATACTGACGGGGCGTGGCCAAACGGTGACTTATTCTATGAAGCATTGGTCCACCCCTGATTATTATTATATAAATTAATTAGCCTAATTATCGTACTTAATGACGATATCTCAATTGTTTGATAATTGATAATCAAACCCACCACAGATTCATATATGGTCCTTGTCAATCAATTTCAGGATTTGTTCATAATCACTTTGAGACGCATCAATATTTTTTTTTTAAAAAAAAAAATCCATTACACTCCACACCTAAACAGCAAAAAGTTTCCCCAAAATTATTAGTCTTGTCGAAATGACTTGCAGGCAATTTGGACCTTTTCCTAATAACTAATTGGTTTCTAAAGTTGAAATATAAGAGAGGCTTCATTTTCTAGTCAGCTCCATATTTGGCAGTACAGTTAACACAACTCAAATGTCATTAGTTGTTGCTTTTATATTAGATAAGTAATATTTTTACCAGTAAATGTTAGTCTAATGATAAAATATTTTATTCATTTTTTAAAATAATTTTATTGTAAAAATAATATTATTAATAGTAAAGGCCTTGAACTAAGAGAATATACTTGAAGCTTCAATTTTTTTTAAAAATAGTTAATACTTTCGTACTAAATGCAGTCCAGGCAATTGAGAGAGTTTCATGGTTCATTAGGAAACGTTATAGGAAATAAACTTCTTATATTAACACGTCTTAATTAATTTCAAAAATTAAGGCCAGGACCCACCTTTACTTTGGATAATAGGAAGATACGACATGCGACACGGTCATAAAAAAGGGGGGAAATATTAATTGGTACCACACTGGGACCCTTCCGTCTGCGCACCACCTAACCTGACTCTACCCCTGTTCGGTTCCAGTTCTATTTCACAGTGCCTGGTTCACTCGTTCTTCTATACTCTGGCGTTATTCAATAATCATATATTTCACATCACCTTTTTTTATGTTATTTATTTTAAAAACAAAAGCACACAATTCATTTGGAAATCATTTAATTCACATCATGTAAGATTATTTTTGTAAATAAAATTATTTAAATATTTATTATTTAATATATTGTTAAAAATATTATATTATATTATTTAATTTATTTGATAAAAATATAATATTATAATATTTAGTTAAAAATACAACATAAAAAATATATGTTTTATCAAATTGTCTTTGAATTCAAGATATGTTTCTGTTTTAACAAGTTGAATTTTCAACATCAAACTCTAAATATTACATAAAAATTATGTATACAAATAACTTAATATTTTTTATTTTTTAGTTCTTTGAAAATATTGAAATATAAACACATTAATATAATTTTGTATTTACTTAAAAAATAAAATTGTGTATTTACTTTTAGATACCAAGATATTGAGAGATAGATATACTTACAAATTAAGGTGTAAGTGTGTGTTAGTACTACTACATTTTTTTTATTCATACTACATATATGAGTTGTATAACAAAATATCATATTAAATTATTTGATAAAAGTAAAAGAAAACATAAATAATATAATATGGAAAACCTTTTATAAAAATTAATCCTAAAAAATAAACCTAATAAAACATATATCATAAATAAAATTTGAATAAAACACATACACAATAAATAATCGAAATAAAATAAAATATTATTTTTTTTGTTTTAATTTAATTTTATACGCATTGTATTATTTTATAATAAATATTAAAATTTGGAACTATTAAAAAAAATTTAGACTTGTATAATTATTTGAAAAAATAAAAGTCGTTTAAAATAACTATATTATTTTAGGAGTATAATTGTTTTAAGAAAAAATATTTATTTGAAATCTAAAAAAATTAAAAAAATGATATTTCATAAAAAGAAACTCAAAAATTATCACAATAGAAAATACTTTATTATTTTAAAAAGAAATATTATTAAACTAATGAGTATGTGATTTTAGATAAAATTATTATCTTTAATAATAATATTTGTTCGTGAATCAAAGGCCGCCTTATATATAATGGCTTTCGAATCTATTCATATCATTCAGTTTCCCCGTACCTAAGAAGAAAAATACTAGTGCCGCCCGCTTCGGACTTATTTTTCTTCATTGTTTTTTCTCTTATGATAAACTCTTGAAAGCAACCTTACACCTTCTCCTCTTTCAGTTCCTTCTTTGTCTTGTTATAAAAACATGGCTTCCGGTGAATTTGACAATGTTAAGGCGGAGAAAGAAGATGCTTTATGGAATTACAACATGGAGGGAAATTTGAGGATCGGTCTTAGCTTCGTCGGGATTTTGTTGGTTTTGTTTTTGCTGTCGTTGTTCTTGTTACCCTCTTTGATTCCTCCCACCGTCGAGATTGCTGGAGATTTTCGCAGATATTTGGTTTTCACTTATGACAAGCCACTCTTCATTTTCATCCTCGTAAACATCATCATCCTCGCTGTTTATGTTTTGTCTAAGAAAAGCCAGATCCAGGAACCAACCGCCGGTAGTGATATCTACGACAAGTACGTTAGCTCTCGCCGAAGTGTACCCCCATCGTCCGTCGATTCCGCCGCTCTCGCCACAGACGAGACCACGGTGGACAAAAAAACCATCCTGGTGAAAAATGCGGCTGCTCTAGTTTCTCAAGTAAAGCAGCAACGTACAATTACAGAGACAAAATGTTCCGTTTCCGCAGATAAACAACAACCTACGGAGAATCGTACAGATCCAAGCGAAGTGATCAAGCAAAGGGAGTACCTAAGAAGTCGATCGATGGTTTCAGAATCTCTAATTCAACGAACCCGCGAGTTTCGGAGGTCGGAGACGGCCATGATCAGTGGAGAACTGATGATTTCAGGCACAGAGCCACCGAGGAAATCAATGGATGAGATGAGCAGCGAAGAGTTTCGGTGGATAATAGATAGTTTCATTGCCGAGAAAAAAAAACCCTGATGCAAGAAAACAATGCCGTGGGATGTATATTTGTTAGTTACCATGGGATGTATAGCGATAAACTTTCCCAGGTTTTGTGGGATAATCAAGCTTTATGAAATATCCTGCTCTTTTGCGTTGTCTTTATCTATCGTTTACCATTTTACTGCCTTTCCCCCCTTAATCTACGTATTATATCCTCGATTTGTGTTGCTGTTTGACTCTGAATCATATGTGCAATTATGGTATATTCTTTTCTGGGTAAAAAGATGGAAGTGTATTCTGATTATGAAAGGAAAAATTTCTTGAGGGCACAAAACAGGAACCAACAGCCACGGAATTCAGGGACAATAAACCTCCTATTAATGTCCTGCTGAGCTGGTCATATTTGATTATATTCCATAAACTTTGTAAATTGGATTCATTCTTCATGCTTATAGCCTAGTTTTGCAACCTTTTTTCTGTCAATTTTATCTTATTCTATGTGTTGACCAATACCCAAAGATTAAATGATGAAAGGCAGAAATTAAAAAAGGCTATGAAATTCATCAAAAGCATAAAAAAGGTGGCACTGATGGGTGTCTCCCAATCATAAACATTTCACTGTTATTCTGATTAAAATAACGTTTGTTTGCACTAGCCTAATAGAAAAGCACTTTTACACCTGCGTAATGGAGTAACAAATTAGAGTGGTGGATTAATTTACTAGCAAAAGCTTGAAATCTTACACGGGAAACTAAATAACTTTTACCCTACTATAGGCACGTCCACTAAGCAATAAACTAAACAGCTTTGTCTTAATTTCACCTATAAACTTTGCTTGTATCATTATCTACACAGTAGCTAGTGGGGGCTTCGAGGAACTTTAGACATGCATCATCTTAACAGCTTTGTCTTTAATTTCAGTTTTCTGCAATTCCGGACAAAGTTTCCCACCAGCATTTTTTTTGTTTCTTAATTATCCGTTTTGTCCCTTGAAAGTGACTTCTCAATTCTTCTTCTAGTAATTCATTTCCCCCCTTTTTTCTGGGTACATGATTACAGAAACCAGTGAAGTACAAAAACCCCAGGAAGCTTTTTTTTTTTTTTAATCTGCCCTGGCTCCATTTAATTCTTCAACAAAAAACATGGTTTTTATTTGGTCCTGAGTGGGATTAAAGAAACAAGGTTGAAGTGTGAGGAGGATTCTTTGTAATGAAGTTATGAAGAACCTTGCTCTTGTCCATTTGTTCTGACAAAAAAAATGGCACATATTCTAAGAGTGTGTCCTTCATTAATCCACCAATAAAATCATTTTGTTATTAAAAAAAATAGCTGTGCAGGACACATTTCAGCATCACTGCATCACATTTTGTGCAAATTGACTACATTTTAAATTAGTGATTTTGACCGTTGCTGTGAAATAACATGATTTCTGATCTTTGCAACTCTGTAAGCAACCCTAAAAACCGGAAAACTCCGCCAATTGTATCATGATCCAATTCCATAATCTACATTTGACCGAGAAGTTCAAACTGCATATAGATTTCCATTGCTTAATAAGAGAAAACAAACAATCAGTTTCCATGGAAATGGAAGATCCCGATTTCTCGAAAAAAGGGCTGGTTGTTACATTCAAAAAGTAACAATAATTATAATAAGCGAAAAGGATCAAACGACAAATGCCGATAAATATATATTTTTATACTTCATATGGCAATTTATTCATATTGGAGCGATTGCATCCTTCGTCTGTAATTGAAGAATGTCATTTCATTTATATTTATAAGGTTGAGTAGCTATCGTATGGGGAGAGGGCAATCATTAATGGATGATCAGGATTTGTTTTTAGTACTTGTTTGAGTTGGAGTTTGATCGTTGGATATTTGCAAAAATGGCCAATCTGAGAAATGGAAAACAAACTTGAGAGTGATTGTGCGTTGGAATGGGCATGCTAATTTGGAAAAAGCAGAATAGCAGAGAGGTAATTATAAGACTACAAAAATAGAATAGGAAACTGCGTGTAAGTGAAGACCCAATAGGATGTTAACAGAAAAATCTGTTTTATAATGGAGCTTTCAGATGGCAATCATTCCTGAATGGAAAACACAGAGCAAACATGGGTGAAAGAGTGCGTTGGGGACGATGTCCTCTGCCCCTACATCAAAGCTCCGTCTCCCCGTTTTGGGTAATAAGGTTAAGGTGGTCGGTAGGACTTGCTGGATTAATGCTGCCCCCACGGCAGCTATACCTATTCGCTCTCTATTCTCACAACTCCTTTTAATGGGCTATGGCTCAGGCTTATGCTATCTTTTTCTTCCTCTCTTTTTGACCTCTTAATTTGAAACGGTATTTATAACTAACAAACACCAACAATTTCTAATGAGATAAAGTACCGGATCTTTTAAATAAATATTCGAACTTTGATGTTTATGAATTGAACAAATTAGATTGAAAGAATTGACTCACCTCTACAGTATTGAATCTAAATTAATTGATTAATAAATCAGAACCAATGTTTATAACATTTCTCCAATCGTAAATGGCTTTAACTTTTCTCTTTTTTAATATTAATATTTGATAAAATTCTATATATTGGATTTTAATATAAAAATGTAAAAAAAAAAAAAGAAATTCACATAAAAAAAAATTTGATATTTCAATATTCAACTTCATATTCAAGTATGAAAGTGTTTAGAGAACTCATCAAGTGATCTTAGTTGTTAAAGTGAGTGTTATTCTCCCTAACAGTCATAGGTTCAAGTAGTTGCGTCTGCATGTGTATATACATTGTCAATAATTAAGAAAAATTATAAACAAATATTATTTTTTTAATCACATAGATTATTAAAAAATAAAGTACCAAAGAGTTTAAATGAGTCTTTTTAATACTGGATCCGTATTTGGTATTGGGTCTCAAGTTGTAAAGACCCTAAAGCATTCGGGACAGAGGCCTGATAGAAAAGCCGAGCTATATTAATTATTTTAGGATTGTATTTCAGTCTTTTTACGAACTGAATTGTTAACAATTCTTTCGTGTATTTTCCTATTTAAATAATAAATAGTTTATATAATATATATATATATATATTATAAAATAACTGATTAAATTTGTGTTTTTAATTAATTTGAAAGAAGGCACTAATTTAATCAGAAAATAATTATAATATTATTTTTTTAATAATAATTAATTATTACTAAAAAAATATTTTTCTTTCATATACTTTTTAAATAAAACAATAAAAATTACTATTTAAAAATCAGTACAAAACTAATTAGTTTGTATAAAATTATTGTATAAATCCACTGATAATTATATAGTAAAATAATTTTTTTGTACAAAAATTTTGAAAAATTCTACAAAGCTCGTCGAGCGTAAATGAGAACGGTTAACAATAAGCACCATTAAATTATAAAATATTAAATGTTTAAATATAAATTAGTTAAAAATCTAAATGTAATTTAATTAAAACACAATATTTATAAAAACATTAGTTTTTATGACCCCTTCGACGCTTCTTTCGCTGTATACCCCCTCCATTCCATCCTTCGAAAATAAAAGAAAGGGCCCCATAACGCTAAAAAAGTGGGGGAACAAGAGTTGACACGATAGGAAGGAAAAATGACTATAAAGAACCAACGATTCTCTCTTCTGAAACAACCTATATCCTCCACACTTAATCAACATTTGATAGATTATCCAACCCCGAGCAATCTTAGTTATTGGTGGGGGTTCGGTTCGTTAGCTGGTCTTTGTTTAGTCTTTCAGATAGTGAATGACATTTTTTTACCTATGCATTACACACCTCTTGTGGATCTAGCTTTCAACAGCGTAGAACACGTTATGAGAGATGTTGAAGGGGGATGGTTGCTACATTATATGCATGCTAATGGGGCAAGTATGTTTCTCATTGTGGTTTACCTTCATATTTTGCGTGGTCTATATCATGCGAGTTAGAGTAGTCCTAGGGAATTTGTTTGGTGTCTCGGAGTTGTAATCTTCCTATTAATGATTGTGTCAGCTTTTATAATAAGATCAAATATTAATTTGAGAAATTTATAAATACTAATTTATTTTTATAAGTCACTGTCGTCGTCACCTACGTCACTACTGATGCCATCGTCATCGATATTGATTTTCTTCATCAATTTAGTCTTTGTTGTTCGTATGGTGAAAGATGATACCGATAGCGACGACGATGACGAGAGCTTCAAAGCTATGAAAATAAATTATGTTTTATAAATTTCCCAAATTAATATGTGATCTTATTATAATTAAAATAAGATTATAAAAAACTAATGTTTTATAAATATTATATTTTAATTAAATTACATTTAAATTTATAATTAATTTATAATTATATATTTAATACTTTATAATTTAACATTCTATAAATTAATTTAATGGTGTTTATCTATATTTGTCAAACTTGACAACATCATCCAAATATTTAAAATTTATTACTAGTGTGTAGTGTAAATGTCAAATTATCGGATGGTTTCAAATGAGTTGGAGCGGGGCCTTGTGATGGGCACCTCCCACCACGTCATGCATCCGTGTGAACGTTTTACATAGTTATGTACCGCACGTTTTGAATATTGTATTAATCTCTTCATGGACTTTGTAATGTGCACGTTTTTCTAAACCCCACCCTGTAGAATGTGCATGAAATATAATGTACATGTAACCGACGAATACTTTACTATTGAGCGAATAGAATTCCTCTGCCCCTATTATATATGCCTTTAATGTGTCCCTCCACTAAAATTTTGACACGTGTTTGTATTCATTCTTAAGATACGAGGATTGAAAGTACGTTTGGATTTATATCAGTAGATTTATGCTAACAAAAGAAAATTGTGATAGACAACCTAATTAATTCATGGTTCACAGTTCAACGATGAATTTTTTGTTCAACAATCATTGACTGAATGAGTATCTATAATGTGAACTTCATAAGATTTTATGCGGGAATTAAAATTGTGTTATATTTTCTTGATATTTTTCTTTAATTATTGTTGATGTGATTTGTTTTATCGTT